ACCCATAATTGAAAATACTAATAACACATTATTTACTTAAAAAAATAACTTTTTTCCCTTATTTGCCTAATGAAATTTAAATTTAAATTCTTTTCAAATCTAAATAATAATCATGAGAAAAAGCAACAACTTCATGATGACGGTAGTGAAGATGGCAACATAAACATTTCAAATAAGATAATTTTTATAATTTGTTACCAATTATAATATTTCCCATAAATAGATTTATAATTACCTTTTTCTTATATTTGCAAGTTGGCGAACAACATTAGACATGGCAATATTTCTACTTTCACTCTACCGCAAAATCTTGTCATGATGTCAAATTAGATCAACCCATGAAATATCAATTTTTTATTATGATTTCCTTGTTCAGCATCATATACCACCATTCTTCAAGAAACTCTATTCTCAACTTTGTTTATAACACCAAAAATCGAAAAAAAAAAATGACCACCTTAACATTAAGGAAGAATTGTTTTAAGTTGTAAAAATCCCTTATTTTTTATCCATTGAATTTCAACATACCACCTTTACATTCAAAGTGAATGAATTCATATTTACTTTTTATTTATGGTTCATGTAAAGTTAATAAGAGTAAGATGTGAAAAATGTAATTATGAAAGAATGATGTTATTATAAATATCCCCTTTTTTTTAATCCATTGAATCTTACCCTACCCCCTCAAATTTTAAAATTAATGAATTTATACATAGTTTCTTATTTAAGATTTAAATAAGTTTTTTGATTTGAAAGGTGTATGTCCCTACAAGGGTAGCTATAGTTCATGAGTAGTTGCAAGTAGTAATCATTCAAAAAATGATATAATAATGTTTGCAGTGCATGGCAATTCGCCTACACCAAGAATGCACGCAACACTACAAGAAATAATACATTTGAACTAAAAGAGATTAATGCAATTTACTTCTGTTTCAAATGATTTCATCATATTTTATGAAAGAACTTTTATTCAGAATTTTTGCAATTTTTATTTTTTTACATTTTTTAGTCCATGTTTTACGGTTCATCATATCACTTCGCCGACAGATAGAATGGCATGCACCTTGACTCTAAACATCTATTCCCACTACTGTTATACAATATTAAAAGATTGCTTAGGAAAAACTTGTCAAATAAATTAAATTTAGAGTAAAAAGTTTAATTAACATAATTTCTATAATAATATTATCCAATTTATAACCAACAAATCAATTAAAAATATAATTAATGGAGTGATTAAATTTGAAAGAATTTGAAATAATTTTAAAAACTTGATTATCTTAAAAAATTAAAGAAATTTAAGATTAAATAATTCGCTTAAATATTATAAATTATAAGCTAAATTATTTTAAATAATTTAATTAAAAATTAAAACTAGTTCTTTTATATATTCTTAATATATTTTTTTAAGAAAATATAATACTTATTCCTCATTTGATAAAGTTAGTATTATATCCCAGTCATAATTGCCTATTTAAAGAGGATATTTCATAAAAAAAAATGATTATATTATATCTTATTACTTTATCAGCATGTATTTCATATTTTTATATTTGATTAGAATATAATTAAGCAGAAAGTTGTGAGGCATTAGCAATACCCAAAAGTGTCAAAATCAACATATAAGAAAATCATCCGAGTTGAACAAATTTCAAATCCATGTGAATCCTTGCCCTCGTTTCAGAGCCTCAACCCATTCAACCCTATTCTAGCCATTGTCAAACCCATCGACCCAACCATCATCACTTTCTAATGTAATTGTTGTCTCGCAGTATCATATCAAAGCCCAAGCCACTATAGGTGTCGTCCAAAACTCAAGTCATTGCTGCTAAAGTACCAATGCTACCCCAGTCGCCTGCCCCGACTAATCTCATCATCAATCAAGCCATGAACACTACTCTCATTTCCCAAAACAACACCTCCCATCATCAAACAAGCTTCTAAAGCTGCCCCTGTGACCCTCTATATTTATGTACTTCGGCAATTTTGAAAAAAAAAAATAATACTCCACAGATCTAACAAAGCACCCAAAAAAAAAAAAACAAAAGTCACGACAGCTATTGTACTAGAAATCAAATAATTCTGAATATTTCATAACATATTACATATATTCTCAATACTATTCCAACAAAATAGTCCAAATGGGAGAGAGAATATTGTGGTTCAACTCTTAATTTTTTATATGAACTAAATCATTTTTTTTAAGTTGAAGCATATTATGAATACAGAATTGGAACTTGAAATACCCAACATTCAATTATGTGAGCATGTATGACCACATAATACTTTATGGCAAATCTCAAGTGACATTAAATAATAAGTGAAAGTTTGCAAACCACCGACGATTAAGTTGGAAGACCTAAGTGCATTAAAACAAAATTAGAGGCCCAATTACTAGGGTTGTAAACCAATCGAGCTTGAGCGAGCTTAGGCTTGGCTCGTGTCAGCTAGTTCGAAATTGGGTCGTGTTCGAAATTGCTCATGAACAGTGCATTCGTGGCTCGATCTATATATTCTTGTTCATGTTTAGCTCGTGTTCGACTCAAAATTGGCTAATTAAAATTAATTAGAGAAATAAATATAGGGTGTTGGATTCGAACATGCACCATCCCTATGTAATAAAAGGCACAAAATCACATGACCACACGAGTTGTGATGTATTAAACATAGATATAAATATATACAATATATTATTATATAATAATTTCCTCATTTTAACCTAAAACGAGTCGAACACGATCAAAAAAAGGGTTGTTTGTCTCATTTTATAATTCAAGCTTAAAAAATTTGTTTGTGTTTGGTTAGCTTATTTAACAATGGATTAAAACATGAGCTACTTATTGAGCAGAGCACGAGTTGTTCGGGAGCAACAAGCTTTCTTTGTCAGCCCAACCCACTATAGGGCTTTTAAAAGTGTGGACCAACATCAAGCATCCTATTAACCTCGAGGACCCAAATGTAATTTACTCTTTTAAAAAATTCAAATCAAGCTTAATACTACTTTATGTTTACTCAATTAGATGTGATGTGATCCCGTGAGTTAGGAGAAATTTATTTTCATGAGTATAAATGCTTTTAACAAAAATTGTGAGTCTTTTCTTCTTACTATGCAAACCCAAGTTGTAATTTCAAGGGATTTGCACCTGGATTTATTCAAGCATCCATCTTATTATGCTAAACATTCCCCTTTTCCTTGTACTAAATTTCCTCAAGCTATCATGATATGTGATTCTCAATAGGACACAATGCAGAAAAAAGGATTCACGTAGCCGACCCCAATTAGTGGGATAAAGGCTTGTTGTTGTTGTATCAAGACACATAATATGCCAATTCAACAGGCAAAACAACACAGAAATATAACTATCATGCATAAGTATCAAGTTCTAAAGAAAATAATGCATGCATGCTTAGATGACCAGATGGCATCAAAAAAATCATTTATGGAGAAAAGCGTTGTCCTTAATCAAAGTAGCTTAATCAAATAATCTAAAAATTTAACATTTATAACTAAAAGAAAAGGAGGGAGAGAGATAATCACAAGAAATGACACTAATATAAAGTGAATGAGCCAAACCAGGAAAACATTATTAAAAAAAACAAAAAATAACTCAAAATGTTATTGCAACTAACACTTAAAAGAAATTTAAATAGGAGTGCACCTAGTGCATGATGCTTGCACCAATGTGAGGTCTAGGAGGTGCGTTGACATACACAACCATGCCTATATTGCATAAAGGCTATTTCCGTGGTTCAAACTTATAACAATCAAGTTCTAATGGAGGTGTGGGTGCCAACTAATCCAGTAAGTCTCTTAAAAATTTCTGTCTACGACTTGGGCTCAATCTTCCAAAAATAATGAACTCTCAATTTACAGAAATCAAATTGAGTGAAAATAAGGTTATAGCAGAGATAACTAACCACTCCATTTTGCAGCTCTCACTAACAGAAACTTTAGTGTCAGAATAAAATGCAAAGAAAAAATAAATACCAATATTCTATGGTGCAAGTCATCATCACTTGTTTTATTCAAACTATTTGTGAAACATCCATTTTCACTTGTTCCTATCGAGTATCATTAGTGTTAAGCATATTCTTCACAAATTAGTTTGCATAGCTTCTACCTACACTAACATAGGTCTATCCCTTCCCCTTTGATTGCTCTGACACTAATATTATATGTTCATCTAATGAGTAAATTTTCTACCCTCTATGCACATTTCTAACACCAATACTATGTCGTGCAAACAAGCACACAAAATGCATGTTATTACAAAAAAAAATCAATAGGAAAATATTAATATATAAGCAAATGTTGTTTTAGCTAAAAATGGAGTTGGCCTAGTCGAAAACAAGTTTTGGGGCTTAAGTGTTGGTCTGGTTAGATAAATTGCACATTAACAAGAAAAAGATGACTCGCAATTAAGCTTGAGCAATCATCAATCCCAGAGGAAGAAACAGATGGCTACAAGTTTTTGAAGGTCAAACCTAAATATTAGTTGAACATATTGCCATCATAGTTCAAAGAAAAACCATTGAGCATCTAGAATATCAGCCTTACAAATCTTTACACCATGTAGGGACGCACCAAAAGAAGCACCAGTTTTCTAACTTCACTAATTTTCATAAAAATATCAACACAATAATTCGTCGTGTTAGACAACGCCCAAAATTCAATGAACTGTAGTTGAAGATATCAATATTCCTGGGGACACATTCAAATTTCTGAAAGTATCTTATTTAATATTTTAGAAAGTCCTATTTAAGAAAAAACCTAGGGTCCATTTTTCAATTTAACGAAAAAATGTCACAAATTTGCACACTACTAAATACAGAACCAGAGTGCAAACTATGCATAATGTAGTATCATTTAAACTGTTCAAGGAGAAGAAATGCTAGTGATGTGTAAATAAGAAACTCTTTCCTAGAAAAAAAAGGATAAATGATGTGTCAATCTATTTCAATTGGAAAATAAAAGTAAAATGTGAAGAAACAAATTATACATTAGGAGCACCAGGGATGACTTTAGCTACAGCTTTCTTGCATGAGACCAACTCTTCCATCAGGCTGTAATTAGTGTGCAGACCTAAAAATTTTAGCGTCCCATCAAAATTTATAAAGTAAATTATATCAATCAAACAAAACAATATAAAGCAAACAAGAGACACCCACGTCCAGATGTATCACATAGAACAACGCCATAACCTTGCTCCTTACCCTTCTTGACAGCCTGTGAAAGAACTATCCACAAAACAGCTTCAAAATACCACCGAGCATTTTTATGACATATACTAGTGAGAATATTTCCTCGGATTTCAAATGGTATTATTTAATATGCATACACACCTAATGGGGCTTTAGCCTTGTCACCCTCAGCCATGACTATCTCTGATCCAGTTCTCTCAGCCCATACTTCCAGCTGCTCACTAGCAGCTGCTCTAAAGGTATCACCAGCAGCCATCAATACCTGAGAGATAAAAAGAAAATTATGTTGGGTATGGCATACCATAAAATAAAATATACAGAAGAATCAGGTTAACGGCACTGTAAAAGTTTTCTTCCTTTTTGCATGCAAACTGGCTAAAATGCGCAGCTGTTTTATAAAAAAAAGTGCAACAATTTAGTTCTCAGGTAAAATAGAAGTATAGAACAATCAATTTTCAATCTCACCTTTACGCCCTCATTCTGCAGTCTCCAAGCAAGCTTTCCTATGCAAGTAAATATGAATAGATCTATTACTTATTACTTCATGTGTATATCTCCAAAAAAAAAACTTCAAGAATATGAAAAATCTCTACAAATATTAGTGCTGTTGGCAGTAGTAATATAGCAACATTGGAATTCAAAAATGTTGTTTCTTTACCATTTAAAAAAAAGCAATTCCAATTTAAAAATCTACTGCATGCACTAAAAGTTCATCTGCTACTGAGACTTCAAAAAATAGAAAGCCTTAAAAAGAAAGAGAAGCAGCCATAGAAATAATGGATGCTTGCCAAACAGTGAAGCTCTACAGATTTTACACACGTGTGCTCATTTTTTAGCTCAGTGTTAATTTTTTCATTAAAAGCAGGGACAAGCATGTGCCGGACAGGCAGAAAGATGGAGAAGTATGGCATAGCAACTGTCATTGAGATCAATCAAATCATCTAATTAAGGATTTTAACATTAAAAACATCTCAAAGTGTGCATTTAAATAAATGGAAGTTAAAGAGGCTGTTGGATTTTGTGAGGGATACTGGACGACACATATAGATAAAGAAAAACCCACAATTTACAATTTTTGCCAAATAATTTTGTTCGGCAATTCCGTAACTAAGGAAACTTCATCGCCAATAAGTTCAACTAGATTCCATAAAACGTACCCCATGAAGCCCATAAATAAATATGAAGAAATAACGGGGGGCAGAATTTGTACTATCAGAATGCATTACCTAGAGAGGTAGTTTTTCCCCCTCCATTGACTCCAACTACCATAATTACAGCGGGCTTCCTGAAAAGACATCCTCCATCACAGCAAAAGCACGGACAAAAAACCTTTATCTTTTCAGATCGACACAATACCTAAACCCTAGCTGGAGTTCTGTCTTGCCACCTTTTCCAGTTAAAAGATCAAGAACACTCCGCTTCAACGCTTCCTAAACAAAGCCAAATTTCATAAAATAAAGACAATCGCTTGGAGAAATAGCAGAAAACTCACTACCTTTATTTCATTTCCCGACTTAAGTTTTCCGGCACGGATATCATTCTTGAGGCTATCGACAATCTTCATGGAAATCTTAGGCCCAAAATCTGATACCAGCAATGCCTACTAAAGAAACGAATAAATTCAACTCTAAACCTAACCGCTTTCCGAGCTTTTCATTCGCAAAAAGAGAAGGAGAAGGGAGCAACCTCTTCAAGCTCATCGAGGACGCGATCAGTGTCGGCAAGATTCCAGTACAGGAGTAGCTCATCAATGACGGCGAGGTTCTCTCGAGTTTTCGAGAAGCCAGAGAACATCTTCTCCACGTCACTCTTGGCCTTTTCCTTTATAAGGCGGCCAAGCCTCGTGAAGAAGCCGGTCCGTCCAGCAGAGCACTGAATCTGGGAGGCCGAGAAGCGGGAAAAGCGGCGTAGGTTCAAGACGGCGGGGATGCATGAAGGAGGAAAGTGAACGGCGGGACGAGTAGGGTAAGCAGAGGACACGAGTGTGGCGAGCCGCGGGAGAACAGCGGTCATCGTCTCCCTCGCTGCGTTTTTTGGATAACACTGGCGGTTATCTTTTGGGGAAAAATTATTCCGTATCCGATCTCCTCCGCCCTCTATCACGATTTCGGTGGGATTTAAAAAAAATAAATAAAAGTGGGTCCTGCCGAAGCCGTGATGATGGCGGAGATCAGACACTCACTGGCGGTTATCTTATGAATAAGCTTCACTGCCGGATAAAGAAAAGTAAATTTTAAGGGTGTGTTTGGGAAAAATTATTCCGTATCAGATCTCCGCCGTCTATCACGATTTCGGTGGAATTTTAAAAAAATAAATAAAAGTGAGTACCGCCGAAGCCGTGATTGTGGCGGAGATCGGACACTGCATGCATCTCTGTTGCATGTGGTGTTCGCACGGAATAATCGTGTTTGGGGGCAGTAATATAATGGTTGTAGTTACTCGAAAAACTTTTCACGAATGTCACAATGTGTGAAACTAAGCAATATGTTTATGTTGACGGGGGGATTTCCAACCCCATCGATCTGCTTGAAAAGCGGAGGGACAAACCTGAAGAGTCATGTGGTATTCGATCTTCGCCGTCCATCACGGCTTTGGTGGGATTTAAAAAAAATAAATAAAAGTGGGTCCTGCCGAAGCCGTGATGGTGGTGGAGATCGAACACTGCATGCATCTCTGTTGCATGCGGTGTTCGCACGGAGTAATCGTGTTTGGGGGCAGTAGTATAATGGTTGTAGTTACCCGAAAAACATTTCACGAATGTCACAATGTGTGAAACTAAGCAATATGTTTACATTGACGGGGGGATTTCCAACCCCATCGATCTTCTTGAAAAGCGGAGGGACAAACATGAAGAGTATGATATGTACTCATATGCCTCGGGGTAAGATCTACCACTTCGGACAACAGTCTCACCATGCTGGGCAGTTAAGACGACCTTGACTTTTACATCCACTAAGGACTGTAAATGTGGGTCAAAAGGTGTCTGCTCATGGTGGGTGGAATCAGAGGAAGTAGCATGTACATGCCTTGCAAGTTCAGGCGGCACAACGGGTGTCACGAAACATGTCTCTATCTATGTAGGAGGTGATACTACGTTGGACCAAACCCGATCGTCTTGTAACGTAATGATCTGGGCAATGAGGATGAATATATGACCCTGTAGAAGGGTGATAGTCTCCTCGAGAGTAGAACCCCCTTGATCGATCACGGGGACATCTTGAGCCTTTCCAGGCTCGTGATGATCAACCTTGTTGAGATTAAGAGGTGGGGCTTCGGAGCTAGACCTTTGACTTCGAGTGGTCACAGTCATAGCATGGCGAGTGGTCACCTCGAAATCCTACAACTCAGATTGTCAGAAACGGTTGGAAGGTCCCCGAACAGATCCTCCTCAAGGTTTAACTCAGGCTCTCCCTCGGGGTCAACCCGAGGTAGCTCCAAGCTACGATCGACTAATGGGACAAACTTTCCCCGGGATCAGAACAGTAGCCTTCATAACTGGAGGTGAAACCATAAGAGGTGCGATAGTGGGAACCTTTCAAACTCCCTTCCTCTTGGGCATGTGATTGCCCTCTTCGAAGTATATATGAGGGGAGGATTGATACCGCTTCCAAGTGCACTCACACTTTGGGGGCTCACACAAGTATATGTTTCATATCAGTAATATCAAATTTTTTAGTCTGGAATATTGATCCTACATGAAACGAGGGAATTGGCCTTAAGGAAAAGTTTTGGCCTAGTAGTTTTTGTTCTTAGCCTGGAATTGAGATTAGGTTAAAGTTCTACAAACTACTCGTACTGAATTGCAAACTATTTTAAATGTTAAATCCTACTTAAACTATTTGGATTAGAGAATACCAAGTTATAAAGTTGCCCTCTCGTGTAATGATTTGAGTGGAGCATAGGAAATATAAAGTGTTAATTGCAAATGTGACTAGTGAAATAGGAACAACTCACTTCTTTATCATCTCCCAAGTGATAAAGAAGATTGGTTAAATGACTTTAATTCTTTAAATTCCATTTTGAATCCATCAAAGACTATTTCCCTAATATTTCATCTCTCTACAAAGTGTTTGCACCTTACCCTATAGTTCAATGTGATGAACCTAGTTGATTTTATCATAGCTCTCCCGAGTCATTATGGATCACAACACATTTTAATGATTCACTAGGCTAGAATGAAAAGTAAATGAAGTTTTTAAGGTTAATTATCACATTAAATATTTAGAAATAATTTTGAAAACATTTTGCACTCCTATACATTCTACTCAAACATCAAAAGGTAAGGTAAAGGGTACTACTCATAAACATGAAGAATAAACCACAAAGCTTCATTGAAAAAACAATGGAAATATATTATTTGATATGTTTAAAGAAGTACAACAATACAAACACTCAAATACTTATCTTCTTCTCCTTTACAAAGCTTTGAAGATGCTCCACCCAAAGGAATCTTGATCTCTTCTGCTATTTGGAAGTCTCTGCTCTCTTTTACAACTTAATTCCTCAGCAAATGACTAATAAAAACCTATCCTAGTCAACCCTTCAGCAAGCCTCTATTCCTTCTTTTCCTTATCTTTATATAGCTTTCAAAACTCTTCCCTTAATCTCCCTTGTCCAGCTGATCTACTTCCCACGATCTGCAGAAGAACTACTCAAAACTGCCTCAGGCAGTTATTGGCACCCAGGGGCTAGCACCTAAGTGTCAGTCTCGCATCTATAGGGTAAATCTTGGGCTCCTTGGTGCCCATGGGTCTGGTTCCTAGGCACCCAAGGCGCAAACCCCTCATATTCTCGGGTTGAGACTGGTGCCTAGGTGCCCAGGGGTCTAGCGCGCCTAGGCGCTAGTAACCTATGAACTCCTTTACTCAAAGTCTCTTCCACATTGCTTCAAGTCTCCTGCATCTTACTCCACATTCAACACCTATTGTATCCGCAAGAAAAACTTGAAAATGCATTTCTAAAAAGTACAATTTCATCCATAAAAATAGGTAAAGCTTAAAGGGATTTGAGTGATCTTTTCTACACATCAAGTATCAGTGGAGGTGCACCCCGAATTTCGTCCCACTACCAAAAATAGTATGCTCGTAATATTTACTCAAAGTAGGATAACAATGAACAAATAAATCTTTCTTTTTATTATTGTCAACAAAATATGTTAAAACAAGAGATGCGACCATGGCCATTATAGAAGTATCAGTGAATGGAACAAAACCTATCTTTGGCACATCCCAATAAATTTCCATATCCGGAGCCCCTTCGGACTCTTGGACAAACTCGACGATCTGCACCACAAAGCATAAGTACCCCAGTCTTGCAATTGATTGATGGGTGGACCTCGGTCTCCTACTGTGAGGACATTACGGGTAAGGAACATAAAGGAGCTGCTCCATGAACTGCTTAGATGTCTCTGAGATCCAGGCTAGAAGCTTCTCCTTGAAAACAGGACCCTTTCCCCATATGGAGGAGACTTCCCTGACAATCTTCTTCGTCAGAAGACTCATGGAAAAATGGTCAACGTGGACAGCGAGCCTAAGAAAGCCATGTCTTGAGATGGTGTGCACCTCCCTACAATCCCAGCGGTAACTTGTCCACTTAGCCAGAAAGGGCAGCAAACTGATTCTTGACCAAGGGAGTTGAAGACTCTACCTGGGCCGGAACCAGAATAATAGTGGAATCCTGCTATTGAGACTGTAACAACCTGTTTAGGTTCCTCCGGGCCCTTATGTCAAATATGGTAGCAAGATTAGTCTCAGAGAGACCCGAGACAACAAGGTCCTAGACTGCATCAGCGATAGGTGTGACAGTTATGGTACCGTTAGAAGAGTCATTTGCCATAGGCAAGGAAATCCATGAAAACACAGAGGAACGACCTGAGAAAAGGCAGATGGGTGCTATTGTGCATCATTGTTGAACATCAGCCTCTTCTTCGGAGAATGGGTGGGTGTGACACGAGCCACCACAATGGAGTAGCTCGATATGCACGACTCCCCTTTTTAGGGGGAGGGCACAAAGCAGAGGCCTCAGTGGGGTGGGATTATTGATGGTAATTTGAACATGGTTGTTTCTGTTCATTTTTTTCTTTTTTTTATTTTAAAAGGAGTCTCCAGCTTGTCGATCGTCTTATACTTCCCCCATTCAAATAAATCTCGCTCCCGAACAAAATAAATGATTCGAAGAGGATAGGAATCAAATAAGAAGTCTCCCTCCCGAACCATATAAATGATTCGAAGAGAATAGGAATCAAATAAGAATGGACATACGACAAATAAACAAACAAGAGAAAAAGTAAAACGTGCAGAGTCTACGTGCGATAAACCTCGCAAGGATATGTTCAGAATGTCCGCCCAAACAAGATCGAGCGGAGGCACCTTAATCCAATATCCGCGAAAGAAGTATCTACATAGACTACCCATAACCAGAGAGTCAGGTGTATGAACCTGTTCTGGGGTCAATAGCACTTCTTGTTCCTACTGGTTAATTACATCCTGGGGGATACCGAAGAATACTCTCGATAAAAGGAGTTTCACTTCATATTATCATAAACCTGGGGTATAGACAATCAAATGAAGGTTATTCCGTGTGGGAACAGTCTCAATGCTTCAAAGCTCATGCTAAGCAATCGAGCTGAGAGTGAGTCTCTCGCATCCTGAAATGGGTAGCGGCATATCGACACATGGGGCCCGCGGAATAACCTAAATAATCTTGACAGGGATATCCCAATACATCAAAGCACGTCCGGGCCAAAGGGCAAAGGACAAATCATCGTATCCCAAATGGGCGGCAGCTCATCGGTGTCGGGTCTTCAAGATGATATCAACAAGGTCAAGGAGCGACAGGGCTCAAAGGGGCTCAACAAAAAGGAA